ATTTTAACAGCATCTAAAACCCACAGTTGAGTGCCACACAGCCTACAGCATGGCCTCTGACATGCTCTTCACATAGCAAAGGAGACTGCAATATTAAGACATGAGTGTTGAGGATGCCGAACAGGCATATGCACCGTGTTTGCCTTGATGGTCAAGACCGGTGGCTAACTGAGGAGGTGAAGAGAATATCCCCAGTATGGTGGTACGCCTTGAGCCTGTGTATGTCAAAGAGAGACACAGAGGGAGAAAGCCTCTTTTGCTTCTCTTTCTTCATATCTTGTATGACTTTGTAAGAACCAATCACAAAGTTTCTCTATTCAGTTTGGAGATACAACTTCAGCTTATCTTTCCATCCTCTCTCTTTTCTAGATCCTGAATTTATCAGACACCATTAAGAATCAGCAATTATTTTTAATAGCAGATATAAGTAGTCGCAGGCTACTAAGTTGTGTATTGCGATCCTGTTTGTTTCCATTTGCTGTCCTATATCAGCAAGTTTCTAATTGTGTAACATAGATTCATTAACCTGAATATAAAAAAAAATCCTCTGAGGCCTGTGTTTATTCACAAGGGTTTTGCAGGTCTTGGTTTGATAAAAGAAGTTGCTAATTAATGGATTTGGGAGTTTTGATGGAAACACAGGGCCACTGGTCACTACAGCTAAGTCAAAAGCTAGACTTACTACTAGAAAAAACCAAAATGCGTGCTCAATTGCACTGGTGCAAAGCTCTGACGTGTTACAAAGATGCAAACGGAGAGCTGCATCTATAGCATTTTCTTGAAAATAGATTGACAATAATTGCCAAGATATGTTAACTGGGATGATAACACAGAATGTGTTAGCAACACAAGTATGCTACTTGTCAGAAGGTATAGCATGGAAGACACCTAGATGGTAATGAGCAAGGAGGATCTTCTTTTTGCCAGCAAGAAGAAAAACAACTAAAATGGGGTACTGTCCACTGAAGAGAAAGGTTTGCACACTGTTTCCTGAACTACTGCACAATCTTCTCTCAGAAGTGAGTTTGATCAGCTGAGGCTATCTTACTGGAGGCAGGCAGAGAATCAAGAGCACCTTTGAGCTGATCAGAGCTACCTAAGATTCTGAAATGAGTATATGGAATAGCTGTCAACTTGCCATAGAAGGCAACCAGACAAGATGGAAAGTATTAATACTGTGTATTAATACCATATGGTTCAACCGAGAAGCCTATAATCCACCTAGAACTCAAATAATTACCTGTAAACTAAGTAAATAAGCTGTAATCTATGGCTATGGCTATAGAATTCCATATAGCCACAATTTAAAAATCATTGTCAACATCTCCTCTTTGGATGTGATCAGTACAACCTTTACACTCTTTTCTGGTTTCTACATCCTTAAGTGGTGAATGGCACTTTCCTGTTTTGTGCACACAAAATATTTTAGATAAAATCATGCCACAGGTATGATACAAATTCCACACCCTCCTAAAAAGATCCTCTGTCAAATAAAGACAATTTAGTGAAAACTCTAAAGCTCTCTGTGTCAGCCATGGTGAGGAGCACAGTATAAAAACGATAAAGACAAACTGCACCACGCCTGATCTGACAGGCAAGTACCAGGGTATCTGCCTATTTGCAAAATGCCTCATGTTTCCATGTGAACATTGCTGAGTGAGCTGGTGCCCTTGCTTAGGAATGATTTAATTTATATGCCCTCAGAATGAGGTCATATCAATATCATGCATGATCTCTATCAGCTTTACAGATGCCTTAACCTGAGAACGTTCAAGCTCTTTGAGAGCTATTCATACTTGGCAGATTGATATAGTAACTGACAATTCACCGCCATCCAAGTGTATCTGAGAACACAAAGCTCACATAAATATTGTTGAGCATATCCCATTGTTGGTTATTTACTTCTGCCGTTCAACTTTCTACAGCTCCGAGAGGAAGATCATTTCTCTCCGTGTCATATATCTGACTTACCCATCAGACACGAAAAGCTCCTTGTTTTCTTTTTACCAGTAACGAGCTGTGCTAGAAATGTCAAACACAGGTTTGTTCAACCCCGACCAACAAACAATGTGAAACATAAAAGTATGGGTGGACAGAGACCGGCGAGGAAGCCTGCCTACAAGCTTGGCTTTGTCACTGGCGCTGAAACAGCTTGTAATGGTGTTTCTACATTCAAAAAGCTCCAGAAGGAAGCGTGAAGACCTACCTGATACTTTTCCTTCTGCAGTTTCATAAGCTGACCTGCCTGCTTACCCAACCTAAGCCCTTACTGAAGGCGACTGAGAGCAAACAGCTTGTACGGCGTACAAGCAGGATTTTCACACAGACTGTACTCATGGCTTTCCAGTCCAGAAATGCCCACCTGGCCCTTCGTTCTGGATTTATTGCACTCACCTTAGCCTCACTCTCTCTCCGTCACAGGTCTGGGATAGAAAGACATGAAGAGAAGAATAAAGGATGAGAAAAGCAGAAAAAAGCATGCAAAACTTATCGCTTTCAAACTTACCCTAGACCAAATATTTCTGACGGATAAGTCTGGTTGAAGAAGGTCAGACGCACACCATTCTAACTTTGGAGGGGGATTCTTTCTTTTAATTTCCTGACATGCGTGTCTCTCGCACCATAATTTCAACTGAAAAGAGGAATTAAATTAAAAATATATATGTCCCTAGCTGGACTAATTCCTTCTGTTCAACCATAAACCCCATAAAAAATTGCCTTTTTTTTTTTTTTTCTTGATGAACTTCCTGTAGAGTTAGGGAACTAAACTGGCTCACAAAGAGGTCAAATGAGTGCCAGAACTGCCACAAGTGAAACCATAGACTGCTGTGGTCAAAAGAGATAGGGGAGCGACTCCACCTTCCAGCACCCACGAGCTGCTAGACAGAGCTCAGCCTTTGTCTAACAGCACCCTCTGAGCATCACTTTCAATTTCAGTTGTGCAACCTGGACAGATAGGTTTATTGTAAACACATGAAACAACTTCGACAAATCGGCAGAGCCCATCCAACAGCTTTTTTTTTAGCCCTTATTATTGTCACATGCAATATTATTTCACAATTTTGACACAACAGCAGGGAAAGAAAGAAAAAGATGCCTGTTTTTCTTTTCTGCTATTCCCCCTTCATGCAATGTGAGTTACTGGAAGTAAAATCAGTTAATATCTAAACTGCAAAAATTATATAGCAAGCACCAAAGGTACTATGGAGAAACAAGAAACATTCAGAGATAAAGCTTTCCTTTAAGCTGTAAGCATAGGTAATTTAATGCCTATTTCTGGTAAAGCATGGAAAAAAGAAGTGGATCAATGTATTAATTAAGCCTCAAAAAAACCTTATTGAACTAAGCACTATGAACATTTATTCCATCCATCAGGTCTGGCGATAGAGAGGCCTAGTGAAGTTAATCAGTTTACATCATTTTACTCTGCAGACAGGACCACGAAAAGAACCCAGGAGCCTTGGTGCCTTGCACTATCTTCAGTGCATTAGGCATCTCTTCCTTCCACTGCATCAAGGTAAACAGAAGTCTTGTATTTGTCTTAAGTACGCGCGGCTAATTCAAATGGGTATGTTATCCAGGTCGGTCAGACAAGCGCAGAGGCTCCATTTCATTTGCCTTCAACTTCCCTCAGATTAAACGATCAGACCTACATCAATCATTGGGTGTAAAAGACGTGGAGTAATTGGACTAGAAGGTTGTCAACAGACTGAGGGCTTCTGTTCAGAAAGCAGATGTCTTGGCTTTTTCTTGGTCTTGTTTATTCTTCATAAATACCAGAGCAAGACAGCAGAGTCACTATTATCTCGTAACAACGTTCTGTTAATCAGGCATGTCATTTGCTTGTATGGCCCAACCTTCTGCAGATCCCAGACATTCCCCTTCCACAAGAATTAACCACAAAAATACTGCAGTGTAGCTGCTTTATGACCATGGCTAGGATCAATTTGTTTTGTGCTTTCAAACGCTGATCTTGCAACAGTGAACATCCAGACGCTATAGCACTTTTTTTACATAAATAAGGGGTTTTGACCACCATCTTTCTTTTCTCAATGACAGTTTGTCAAGATCTTTTGCCTAATTCCCGGCTCAGAAAAAAAGACAGCATTCAACTAAGGAACAGCACATCCTTCCCAAATTGCTCTGAAAAGCAATCAACAGGGTGAAAGCCAGGTCAAAATAATAATTACACTAGAAGCATAGTATTGGTGGGCTAAACTAAAGAAAGGGGAAAAAAACCAAACCAAACCAAAACAAACAAAAAAAAAAAACACAACCCCCAAAAAAAGAAAAAAGGCAAAACAAAGCTCAAAAGTTAGAAGCAGTAACGAAAAAATTGAATAAATAAATACAAAGCTACACATTCCAGCCTGAGATCATGTCATGTCTTGCACACAGCAAAAGTTGGTGAACATGCCACATCCCTGCCGCCGCTGCTGGCCCTGCAGTCCTTCCCTCCCCGCTGCGTGGGCTTTAGCCCTCACATGGCACCCTGCACTCAGCTACAGCTTGCTACACTAGCTGAAAACTACTTATTTTTGTTTCCTCAGGTTGCTTTTCTGCTGGGACACTGAGACAGGTTGTCACAGGACCTGTTAAGCACCAGAGCTGACACAGAGGACCATGGGCTTACACAGCCAGGAACAAGAAGGGGATGAGGCAGGAGGAACCAGACCTTCTCCGTCCAGCGACAGCCAGCTGCCAGACTGGCTGCAGAGCCCTGATAGGAAACATCTCTGTAAGTCAGTACAATACCACTGGCATCAAGGAAGCCTCAGCACAAGATCTGGTCTGAATTGTGCATGCCCAAGACATCCACAAATACTAAAGTTCAGGTGCAGCTGCAACACTCCTACAAAACCGCATTTCCCATATGCGGACATACTTACAGATGACCTACAGATTACAATATTCCTGCCTAAGACACGAACAATTTTTAGAACATCATTTGCTTTGGCCTAACTACAATCTGCAACATCAATTTGATTCTTCCCAGGTACCTGGATTCAAAGGTTTCATTGGGAATAGCCATTGCGAGCTTTCTCAGTCCTTAGCTGAAGAGGGTAGGTGGGACGCCTCCTATTCCCACCGTCCGTGTTTGAAGTCATTAGGTATTAGCAGAAGCAACCGAACTCAGAGTGAAAACTTGTGTAGTCTGCAGTAGGGGCAAGTCCACTACAAAACCCTGACATCTTTAATCTTAGTGGATACTTTAAAGCTCAAGTGAGTCCAAGTAACTGCCCAACTTTTCTGCAAGTACTCTACAGAATATGGATCTGGAGGTTCCCAGTATACATATGCACACTGATCTGCTCTAACTGCATCCTAACATCCTTGCTGGAAGATTTACATTTTGCTTAATTAGACCATCTTTTTTTTCTCATTGGCAAAATAGCTACAGACTTCAATGAGAGCAGGATTTGGATTATTTTTTTTAAACTGCTCGCTGCTGTGTTTTGTGACTTTTACAGAATTCTGTCTGCTCAATGGACCCAAACGTGATTCACAAAACAGCCTCAATATCTGTGTGCCAACATAAAATACTTTGCCAAACAGTCAAACACTACAGTCATATGGATAGCGAGAAAAAAAACCAACCAACCAAAAACCCTTACCTGACATTTTATACAGGCAATAGAGATGTACAGTATTTCACCTGAAAGTTTAGGCAAAAATGGGATGTAATAGAGAATAACATGTTTATGTGACTGTGCCTGCGTGTGGGTGCACACGCCCCATATATTGTCCTCTATAAGGGTGTGCTTCAAGTGTCATCTCCAAAAGTCAAGTGCTGGAGAGACTTATTGACGGGGAGAAAAGGCCCTTTTGCTCTTCGAGCCTCTGCTCCGTGACAGCACTGAGACCCAGTCGTTCTTCCCTGGCCACGCTGTTGAGATGCGTGTGGCCAGCAGAACCATGCTCTTTCATTCCCCTATAGCAAATTATAACCAGGCTTACACACAAATAGCATTTACATTTCAAGTTAATTTGGCTCTCCTAGTTCTTTATCTCCTCACATAGCTTTGCTGCAGTTCAGCATTTACTCCACATACACAGTATCCCTTTTTTATTTGGGCTTCATTTTTATTAAATATCAAAAATGATAAAGGGTGCCATTGTTCTAACTACTGAAAGCAACACTATTTACATCAACTACAAAAATGTAAGTGTAACTAGGCGTCAGGGCACAATTTTCTTTCAGAAGGGTGTCAGACTTCCGTGTGCACAAGTTTAGCCTTCGGTTTTGCACATCAGGGTCGGGGGAAAAAGAAATGGCTTCAGGAGCCCTATAGAGGTGCTTTTGCTTCCCTGACTTCTCACACACTATTCTTTCAAATGAGTTTAAAGCTTTTCTTGTCCAAATCCCCGCAAAAGTAACCACACTGCAGTTTTTCTACTATTATGCAAATAGATTAATCAGCCAACGCTCCAGTGAGAATTAATTTATATTTGAATCAAATGAGGCCTTAGATTCTTTATAACCCAACCCCCGGGCCAAGGCCTGGGCTAGGTAGCAACCTCATATTATTCATTTGACAAAATGTGAACTGACATAAATACCATGGCTAACTTTCAATCCGATTACCCCGTTACCTCACATCAATGCTCTCCCAGCCATCAGACTCCAGCGTCCCTCCTTTCACCAGCACAGCCAACAACTGACAACTCCTCCCTGATAAACAAGCACCCACGCTGCCACCTCGGACCCCCGCTCTTAACCCATCATCCCTGCTCAATGGCCCGTATTCGACAAGGTACTTTATTTTGTTTGTAGGAATCGGGGGACTAAACAGCACAAAAATACTGTTTTGCTGGGGCTGCAATTCAAAGCTGCCCTTTCAGAGCTGCGGAGCACTTGAGGCACTAACAATAAACATCCAAAAATACAGGAGCATCGTGTCCATCCGTACATATATATACACGCACATGCACACGTTTAATTTAATACAGTCACCGACATCTGTTATCTTTCACACTCTCCTTAACCCTTAAAAAAAAAGTAAAACAATGTTTTGGGCTACTATGTCCAAAGGTCAATGTAAAGTGAACCCACATTTTACACAGCACCCTTATACTAAACTCGTGTTGACAACCACTAAATTCTTTCTATTGCCCTGCACAGGAACTTGTTTTTTAAAAAGATTTTTTTTTCCCCTTTAAAACTGTAAGCATTTAAAAAGCTTGGCTAAACAATCCACCAGGTGTGAGAAAAGCCTTTTCTATGCAAGGAGCTCTGTGTCAGGAAACCTACACTTCGTAATTAGATTAGCAAGCAAGGACTGAATAGCTCTGATCCAAACATCTCCCCCCCGCATATTGTTTATAGCACATAACTGATAACTAAGCTTCTCTAGTCATGGTTAAAATCTACTTAAAAATGGGAGTCCTGTGCACTCTGGAATTTAAATGAAGAGGAAAAGAAAACAGTGCACATTCTTAAAAAGCTATAAGTAATTACTTGGCTGTCTTGTTTAAAGAAAGCTTTATTTGAAAATACAAGTCATAAACCAAACCCTATGATTTAACGGCAGCTCTTCAGGAAAGCTCCACTTAAAACACATCTAAGCTAGAGAGCTAAAGATGTCATTTTTGCCCTAAGGACATACCTTGCAGTGAACAGGCTAGGGGAGAAGGAGGAGGAGAGTCCTCTTGGCCACATGGTCCCAGCTCCAGGGGACATACCAGATCCCTGGCATGAGAGCTGAAAAGTCCCCAGCCCAGAAGGATGACTTTAGTTATCTGTCTTTTTGGATTTTTCCATGTTGCCAGGCAGTCTCATTGTGCACTGGAGTCAGTTTCCCAACAGGAGGTGAAAGTTTGAAATGTACTCGTTTCCTGGGAACACTAAAAGCGGGGTGAAAAGGAGCTGCAGCACGTCAGAGCCCATCATCTCTACCTGCTCCTTTAAGGGAAATGCTTATGCTCACATAGATATGGTGGTGAATGGAAAATAAGCCAAGGCAAGGTTCTTCCTAAAGCTTTCATACAAAGCCTAGATATTTTTTTTTTAAATAGTGAGTCGGTTTCACAGTCCTGTTCCATCTGCCCAGAGTGCAAATAGCCCAGTTTTGAATTTGGATCTCAGCCCAGTCCAGACCAGAGTCAGCCCCATTTTGTACTGTGGGGCCTGAAACCAGATGCAAACCCTTGTATGAATCAATTTTTCCAAAGAAAGATATCCAATTACTGTATCCTTCTGCTCAGATCAGTACACCTCATAAATCCCATGGTTATTCCATCCTTCTTGAAACAGTCTTTTAAATATTAGAGCTGGAGCATCAGAACTGAGATCAAAAAACCTTCTCTTTGGCTAAAGGACACCACAGAAATAGCAGAAGATAACAAGAGGATATCCTCCGTTCTTCCTTTCACAAATCAAGAGACACTTGCTGTACACACAGCTGTCACAGACAGCAGCGAATGAAAACTTTTCCATGCTTCAGTAACCGTCCTACCCCCTCCTGCTTCTGCTATAAACTCAGCAGCAGGGAAAAGGCCTAGACACTAACTGCTCCAGTGCAGAAGTCCAACCTCTTTGCTTAAACTGCCACTCAAAAGAGGTCTGACCCAGGGCAGCAATTGAGCCCTGTCTCTATGTGTTCCCCTCTGCTGATTTTTTTTTTTTCTGTAGGAGCAGTAAACTTTCAGCAAAAAGGGAGGATAAACAATTTTTTGGTCGGTACCATTAGGGAAAGCTTGATAAAGGTTGATAGGTGAAAGAATAGACTTCCATTTAAGACCTAAGCCAGATCAATTTAAAAGACTCTAGAGAGCTACCCCATATCCCAGGACATGCACGAATCTGGAGGATGCAAACGTAGCTTAAAGCTACCTCCTCTCTCCTGGCCTTTCTGGGTCTGATGAGTAGCAGCCAGACCATGGCTCCTCAAAAAAAGCACGTTTCATCTCTTGTTCATGGTCAAATTAATGCTAAACTGTTGAGTTTGACTAACCAAGATGCACTACATTTGAGTAACATTACCACTTGAAAAATGAATTAGTAGTCTATTTTCAAAGGCATTTGCAGATGAGTAAACAGGATGGTGCTGGTTCTTCTCCATCTGCACAAGGGGGACAACCCTTCTGCCAGCATCATGACTGTCTGCAGTTCAAGACCTGCACAGTTCATAGCCCTGACCCCCCTTGCACCCTGCCACAAGAGCCATGCTTATCAGTGCCAGGACAACCTGACCTTACCAGATTTCCTCAAGTCAAATTTTAAATCTGCTAAATCCCATCTAGCTCCCCTAAAGACCTTTCTAGAGACACAAGATTTGACGCTCTCCACCCTCTTACATTTTTAATGGAAAAGGAAAAAGAAAAAGAAAAAAGAGACAAAATTCATGTCACAATGAGAGCTGAAAATGTGAATGCAACCACTAAAACATTTTTTTTGTTAAGTAGTTTTCATTTGTACAGGCATGACGAGAAACCTGAGGAAACCTGTTTCAGACTGTGAAGATCCCATTCAAACATCCTGGCTGTCTAATTCTAAACTTCAGTCGTCTTTGATATTTCCCTTGCAGTATCAAAACACTCCTGACAAAGTACTGAAAAGAGACAAGTACATTCAAATTCTTCTAGGGCTTAACCCCACCGCATTGAAATTAGCATGAGTTTTGCCCCTGACTTCAGCCCTGACAGAACGAGCAACATCTTGTGGCCAAAGGCATGGGGAAAAGCTTTTCTACAACTTTCTTTACACGCTTGCACTCTCCTTAGTCCTAGAGATTTGCGTTTGCTTTCAGAAAGCTGAAGGCATAAACGGGCAATGCATTCCACCATGTGTCTATCCAATCTCATGGCTGGTGGAAAAAAGGAAGGCATTTTTTTTACTGTTTTCCAGAAAAAAATACAATTCTCTGGGGAGGGACCTACTTTCTATAGGTTGGGTAAGCGCCCATCAGAAAGGTTGTGGTCTTTGCTATTTCAAGGAAGTTTTACAAGTGTAAGTGAAATTGGAACCTCATCAGCTTTTACCGGTGACAAAACCGAAGAGCCCTTCATCTCTGAACACCGTGAAGCTGTGCT